TTATTCGTCCAACTTATCCTCCTCCTCTTCGTAATCCGTCTCTTTGGAATCATTCTTCTCTCTCCTCTTGTCCTCCTTGCCTTCCCCCCTTCTCCACCTCTTCATCCTCCTCCTCCCCACCTCTTTATCCTCCTCCCTCTCTCTTCCCTTTCCTCCTCTCCCTCTTCCCTTTCCTCCTCTCTCCCTCTTCCCCTCCGCTGTCCTCACACGCTTCCCATGAGTTCTCTCCATTCGCTTTTCTTCTGTATATATTCATCCCCCTTCTAATGCTCTCACTTTCTATTCCTCAGCATACCCTCCCTCTCTGCACCCCGTAATTATCAGCTGTGATGTACATTGTCGTTTTCGTTCTCCCACTTTTTATCCTTTCTTTTTGCCTTGCCTTCTTCTTCTCTGTTCTTATCGTGTTTTTTTTCTTCTTCTTCTTTTGCTATATTCATCCGGTTGTGGAGGATGGCTCTCCCCCCCCCCATCCCCTCCAACCCCCCAAAAAGTCGAATAAAAAAATCTAAAAAAAAAACACGATTCCGCCATAGCTGTTGGTCTCAGACCCAAGTGCTTCCCTGAAGCGAGGAACCTCATAGCTGCTTCTCCCAGAACCAGTCTCTTTGATTTCTTCTGCTGCATCAGGCTCTTTTTTTTTAACCCCTGCCTTTTCTCTCCCCCTTTATATCCTTCTTTTGAGATTTCCGTTTGATGCGCACTTTAACAGGAGAAAAATGCGTCTGGCTGTGGCATGCGGAGGCGTACGGGATGGGCGCATTTGTGCGTTGAAGCCCGGGTGTGGGGGGGTCGGGGCGGGCTTGGCTTTGCGCTATTAAGCCAGGCTGCGTGCAGTGTGGCCTTTAGACAGGAGAAGTGGCCTCTGGGAATGGCTTCGGCGGGGAGAGGACCGGGCCCCGCGGGTGGTATATGTGACACCAGGTACTAATAATTATACCTTATACGCCTTCGCTATCCTCCTTCAATTACCTCTTTCTAGACTCTAACCCACCCTTCCATTCCTGATCTCCCCTCCCCTCCCCCCCCCCCCCCTCCCCCTCACCCTTTACCTCTACGTGGGTCGTGTCTTTACCCTTTCCTACTCCCTGTTCTTATCCTCCTCTTCCTCCTCCTCCTCCTCCTCATTCCTTTTCTTTCCTCCTCATTATCATCTCTCCTCTCATCATCTCTTCATCATTCTTCTCTCTCTACTTCTCATATCCTCCTCTCTTCTTCCTCTCCTCTCATCATTCGTCCTTCTCCTCCATCTCTCTCCTCAGCCCTCCCCTCCCTCCTTCCTTTTCCCTCCCTCCCTCCCCATTCCTCCCTCCTCTCTCCTCTCCTTCCCTTCCCTCCCCTCTCCCTCCCCCCTCCTCCTCCCCTCCCCTTCCTCCCTCCCCCCCACCCCTCCCCTCTCCCCTCCCCTCCCCCCCTCTCCCCCCCCCCTCCCCTCCCCTCCCCTCCCCTCCCCTGTCCTTAAACGCTGCCTTTGATGAGCGGCTTTCAAGGAGTCAATTTGAATGTACCGGATGTGTTGGGACTTTTAAATTATTCTTTCTGTGAATTTCGAAATATGATTTTAGAAAGGGAGAGAGAGAGAGAGACGCGCGCAAGGAGAGAGGCAGAGAAAGAGGAGGAGCAAGCGAGTGCGAGTGTTAATGTGTGTGTCTGTGTGTGTGTGTGTTTGTGTTTGTGCGCGTGAATGCATGTATGCACGTGTGCGTAGGTGAGTTGTGTGTGTGTGTGTGTGTGTGTGTGTGTGTGTGTGTGTGTGTGTGTGTGTGTGTGTGTGTGTGTGTGTGTGTGTGTGTGCGCGTTCGTCCGTCCGTCCGTTCACTTGTCGGCAAAGGCTCTAGGGCTTGTGGGCGGCGGAATGCACTCTGGAATGATGATGATAGGCGTGATACGAGCGAAGATGGGCGAGGAAGTGGGTGGGATGGGGTAAATTTTATGGGTCAGACAATACGTTACAGCCCTTGTGCGGGCGGGCGGTGGGCGGCGGCGTGGCGTGTCCGGCGTGTCGGTGGGTGGCAGGTACACGGGTTGTATCGGCGGACGATCCCCGGCGCGGGATTAGGGCGGGGGCGGGCGGGGCGGGCGGGGCTGGTCGAGTGTGAAGGGTAATCCCCAGAGTCGTGGAGCCCTCACGTAATCCCATCAGCGGCCACGCCCCCAGTCCTACCGGCGCGACGGCATGTGGCTCCAGAAGCTGCTTCTGGCGTACGCTTTCCGAGCCGCCCTCCCGCCCGCCCGCGCCTTCCCGCCCTTCTCGAGAATCCCTCTTCTCTCTCGTTTCCTTTGCATCTCTTTCCTTCTTCCCTCCTCCCTCCCTTCGTGTTCCTCTCCCTCTTCCCTCCTGCCTCCCTTCGTGCTCCTTCCCTTTTCTCCCTTTTCCCTCTCCCTCCCTTCGTGTCCCTTTCCTTCTTCCCTCCTCCCTTCCTTCGTGTCCCTCTCCCTCTTCCCTCCTTCCTTCGTGTCCCTCTCCCTCTTCCCTCATCCCTCCCTTTCCTTTCCCTCT